GCGGCTGCCGCTCATGATTGCCGGAGGATGTCTGCTCCCAGTCGGTCTCTTCATCTTCGCCTGGACGTCCAATCCCAACATCCACTGGGCAGGCATGGTCATCGGGAGTGCCCCCGTCGGCACAGGCATGTACATGGTCTTCGTGCAGTGTCTGAACTACCTGGTCGACGTGTACCCGACCATCGCCAACAGCGCGATCGGTGCCAACACATTTGTGCGCAGCTTCTTTGGCGCTGGATTCCCCCTCTTTGGGCCTTTCATGTATCACAACCTCGGCGTTGCCTGGGCGTCGAGCACCCTCGGATTCATCAGCATTGCTATGATCCCGATCCCCGTGCTCTTCTATCGCTACGGTGCTCGGATTCGGTCGTGGTCCAAGAATAGCAAGCACACGTAAGGACAACTTTGGTTCGTCTGCTGGGTTGGTGACCAGCTATTTCGAACTCTCCTGTCCTTCGTCCTTTTGTTTTGTCTCTGCCCCGGTTTCGGGGTTTTCCTTTTGTGTTCCTTTCAGTTTAGACTGGCATTGTCTGGTTTGCAAAATGTTGATATGACCCAAGAAAGTACTAGCGATGAGCATAATTTAATAATGAATGAAGTGGATGCAACAGCAACACGCATTGCCAATTAAAAGATATACCCAAGTACATTCACCGACTACCTCACCGCTCTTATCTCCATGGGCTCGGTATTAGGGGGGTGATAATGCCGGCAGAACAAGCCTAGAGGTGAACGAAGGCGGCGGTAGTTAGTGCCTCGGGCATGTGTTGCTGAAGCTTGTACAGAGTACTCCGTACATACTACTATGGCAGCTCCACTTATAGACATTCACTATGAATTAATATTACTACGTCGAAGTGGGCATGGGAGGCATTTAGCTAGGCCAATCCTATCATGTCGAGAACTAGGTCTCCATAACAAGACATGCCCATTGGGCCTCAATCGAGGGAAGGCATAGAATGGCACCGAATATCTGCTGAGTGTGTCCAATAAATATGATATGAATGTTTTTCTGGCCCGAGGAATAACTTGGATATGTCATAGTTGAATGACATCTATTTCTTTACTCATTATGTACCATTAAGCACATTATACTCTGTAAAGGCATTTTTACCCGTTGAAGCGGGTATATATATTTTGATGTTAGAGCCGCGATGGCCAACGCTTTTGTCACACATCTGTACTTAATCTGCGGTAGGTTATCGGCATCGCTCTAAAGGATAGGTATCATAAACTCATATACAGTACATTCAAAACGGGTGTGAAACAGTGATGAACATGGGAAAAAACGCCACCTGGGTCGTGACATAAGGAATAGTGGCCAAATAAAAAGTGCTATCATGACATTATACTTCGGGTAAACTCGGGGTCAAAAAGTGGTTCAGACGAGGTACAGGGTACTTCGGCGGGTACCCACATCGATGGTTGCATCGTCACTGCTGGATTATCAGCATGTGTGAATGCAGGGACGGTACCGTCACCTGTAGACGACGTGGTCAATCCAAAAGCGGGAAATCCCGGGTCCAGCAATCCCTCTGGGGGTACTGAAGGGCTAAGACCACAAAGGATCTCGTCGCGGCCCATCGGCAGGTTCAGTGAGGCCCACGCGTCCGGAGGTATCGACGAGAGTTCAGACTCTGACGGGGGCGTGCGGTCGGAGAGGCCGGTGGAAGAGCCATCCATTGGCCCCCAGTCGCCGGTTGCCGCAGAGCGGGACAAGCAATCTTTGATGGTATCCAGCATGTCGGTGCACCATCTCAACCCGACCTCAAGTCGGGCAAAGTACGCCCGAGGAAAGTCCGCATAGTGGAGCAGCTCGAGATGGCGGCGAGCCTCATGGATGAGTTGTATATCCTCCGTGTTGTCAGGCTCGCCGTCCAGAAGACAGCAAGAGAAGAGATCATGGACGGCGACAAGCGGATAGTTTCGAAACATCCTTAGTAAGGGTCAGCAACTGGGTGGGGGCCTGGACAGAATACAACAACAAACCTGGCTAAGACCGCACATCGTGCGAGCGTGATACTATGGTGTTCCCCGGCGACCTGACTGATGAGTTTGAGAGCATTCCGGGCGGGATCCCGATACCTTTGCTGCGAGCGTGCGTGACAGTCACAGCGATGTACGAGGACCTGGCTCACCATGAGACAGTATTTCAACTCGAGCTGCATGGGCGCCAAGTCAGCCATCTTCTCGAGGATGGGCGAGCTTAGGAGCGCATGGTATTTGATGTTCCATTCATTCAATGAACCCCACAGCTGCTGGACCTGCCGGCTTCGATCGGCCGCGCCGGCGAGGGCAGCTCGGGAAGAATAGAGATTGATGAAAATCTGTTCCCAGATCGTCATCATATGCACGTAGGCGGCGTTGAGCCGCAGCGGGAATGGTGCACGCTCCCCGCAGCTTCTTAATTGGATATCGGAGTCGAACAAGTATAGATCACAGGGCTGCCCTGTCAGGAAGGCCCGCTGCTTGTCCATGGTATAGACCACCCAGAAGAGTCGTTCTCGCTCCTGCATCTGTTCCCATCTCTTGCTTCGTGCCCCGTGAGCCCTATGGAGACCCGTGGAGCGGGCCACTTGGCACACTGTCTGACAGACCTTTTCAAAGACCACGCTACTATAAAATTCCCTAGCCACGAGAGCCTGGTATCAACGGTTAGCCACCTGGTAGTCTTTTCATCCCCAAGCTTCATCTTCTAGGGATTTAATGACCGCCCTTACCAGAGTCAAGAGCACCTGCACATTGACTGCACATGGCCCAGTAAACCGGTTCAGGTCCGCCAACGCTCGGTCGCAATTCTTCAGGAAAGAAGGGAGCATATCATCGTTCATGCTAACCAGATGGGAGGCGGTTGCGCGAGCGACACGGGCATCCAGGGCCACGGTCAGAATAATGATATTGGTAAAGGTGAGGGCCCACGCATCGCTGTTCCCGGCTGACAGAGACTGGTAATGCGTATCGATGGCTTTCTCTAGAGCGGAATCGTTGAAAATGGGCGTATGGATATTGATATGGCGTAAGAAGCCGTCTAAAGATAGCTCCAATAGGTAGCGCGGAGGTGTACTGATGGGTCGGTGATCGCTCACGATGACAGGTTCGTGACATTGGCCGCCAAAGGGAAACCGCTCCAGCTGAAACTCCAAACTCTCTTTGAACCCTGGTTGTTGGGCGACCACCTGCCACAAGTCCGACCCGTGCGGAACATCCTTGGTCAGGCGCCGGGTGATTTGGCGCTGCAGGTTTCTAAACAGTGACAGTGCGGCCGGGTAGTCCAGCAGGCGTTGGCCGCCCTGGTCGAAGTCGACCAGATCGCCGTGGGGATTCTCCGGATCGTGCTCTTCAGAACTGTCGACCTCCATCAGGTGGGGGGATCGGCACGAGGTGGAGCTCTTCGGGGTGTAAGTGGTGTATATGGCTGCGGGCTCGGGCGCTCCCCAGGGATTATCGACCTGCGATGGGCCAGGGGAGTGAGAGCATCGGCATGGCTGCTGTTGTTGCAGCTGCTCCGATAGTTTCGCCAGTGAGTTGTCAACGCGGTCTAGTCGGGCAACGACACCGTTGAAATCGTTCAGCAATTGTTTGGTGCGGTCGACGCGCTTCGGGGTAGTGGCAAAGTCGCACTCGACGTCCGCCCGGCGGCAGTTGGAGCATTTTGGTTGCTGTCGGTCACAGCGAATTTTTCGTGTGCGACATTGGTTGCAGGCAGGACTGGAGGTGGTGTCTGGTTGAGACCGCGGGCGTTTCTTGTTGGTGAGGCTGGGTAAGGCTGGCGATTCCCTCCGTTCCCCCTGATCCTGCTGCGTCTGGTCTCGGGCGGTGTGAGTTGCATCATCCGGGGCACCAGTCGCCCTGCTAGGCGTCCGGGCCGTCATGGAGAAATGCAAAAACGGGTCGGGGAGGGGAGGAAGGTTCACAAGAAGCAAAAAAGGACCGAGGGGACTCGGGGGCGCGCTATCGGTGGGGTTAATCCATAGTAGGGAGTCGGCGCGATATGGACGCAGGAAAATATAAGTATTGAGAGGATCTGACAGGGAGCAGAGTATGGCTACCACAAGATTCAGGTATCAACTCATGGACCTGCGCACAGTCCCAAGTTGGGACGTCGTAGTTAGTTAGTGGTTAAGTAAGCAGTGGGGACGACAAAGAGAAATGAGATGTTCGATGCCTGAGGCACGGTGGCCTATCCCGGAAGAAGCCGCTAGTGTACGCCCAGACTCGGCCCAAGCCGGGGATTTAAATGACCTTTCCAGTAGCATTTCACCTGACAGTGACTTCCATTAATAATAACCTAACCATTTTAATACCGCCCATCGAAAGTACTGAATAACAAAGGTTCAACAAGACATATTATTGGTAAGCTTCCTCTATTGAGATAAACAAAACTCCTGGAAAGGATCGCTAAGAATACACTAGGGTCTTCAATTGGTTAAAGGAAATATCATATTGAGAGCTAATCCATTCTGCTCAAACCAGCATCCTTTTTGGTCGGCAGTTTGTGGAACATTTGGGGCGGGGAAAGGGACTTTGTGGGGGAGGCTAACTGGAAGGCCTAGATTTGAGATCGGTGCTTTTGGTACATAGAAAAACATGTACATACTTACACTCGTTTTACCAACATGAAACTGCTATGAGTTGGCCACAGTACTGCATGGCGGTCATATATAGATAATAAGATATAAATTCACCAGAGCACCCATGCCAGACCAATTTTTTTCTTGTGATTTCGCAGGTTGCGTGCGACCAAGTATCCGGGGCCTTGGTCCCTGTGAGCGATGTAATCAACAGTTCTGCGTGACCCATTGTACCCCACCGTCTCATCCCTGCGAGGACACGGTATGTTCCATGCACTCACCCTCGATTTGACTCAGGCCTGACTGCTATTAGCCCCTTCCAGACAATGAATTCCACGCCAAGATACATGTCGAAGTGAACAATCTTCGAGCGACAATAAATGACGCTGCGGTTTGCGAGCGAGCCTCGGAACTAAATGGCGGTCTCGAATGCGAGATCGACCACCCACCTCCGTGGGGACGTGGAGCCCTCATGGGCTGCGCCAACTATCGCCTCGAATGAATAGCAGTGTTGAATCACGTATCGATTACCTTGTTCGCAGCGAATATGCCACCCTCAAATTTCTCGAAACGACTACAGTGCCTGCTCCTCGTGCATTTGATTTTGGGATTGCTGGTGACACAGATAACAAAGTGGGTGTCAGCTATATCCTTATGGAAGAGATGGCTGGCAGGACTTGGAATATGCAAGGGCCACATGGGAAGCGTTCTGCCGATGGCAACGACAAGGAGAGGGTATGGAATGGACTGGCCGATATTCTGATCGAGCTGAAGCGCCATCCTTTTCCCAGAGCCGGATCTCTTCTCCCAGGTCTTTGCCTTCAAAGCCAATAGTTTCTGCCGTCGCCAGTGACCGATTTCTTGTTCTGAGTCCTTCTGGGCCTTTCGCTACTGCCAAAGATTACTATACGTCATTTGTAGAGCAGAACATGGCCCTCATCGCTGATGGTCAGCTTTTCCCATCTTTTCCAGTGAATGCTTATTTGGTATTTTTATTCTTGAAATCCCAGATCCCGAATCTTGCATCCACAGCAAACCGTAATATTGAAACGACGGAGCAATTTTACATCAAGCACGTGGATGACAAGGGAGACCACTTAATGGTGGATGACGAGCTGAATATTGTCGGGATCATCGATTGGCAAATGGCTCGAGTCGTTCCTGCCAATGAAGCTTTTGGACCCTCTTTGGTGACCGCTGAAATGGGCGATATTTACAACGGCGTATCGTCCTTAACTGTCCATGATCATGGGTTAGCTCGCTTCTTGAAAGCGAAGGGAGAAGATGACTTGGCTGATATCATGAGAAAAGACGAGAAGCTACGGAGGTTTTTCTTTGGTCTTGATGTTGATTTTTCTTGGAACGAGACACTCCTATTAATTCGAGGCATTTGGGCTGCATTTGGCATGGACAAAAACACTGATCGGAAAGTTTGGAAGACGGACATGCTGGACCAACACATGCATGATGAGCGTCTGATGAATATTATTGATAGTTTTGGAGCAGGCCCTTGACAGAAAAACTCACAAGGAACTGCGTATATAGTGCAAAGCTTCACCATCCATTAATGTGAGCCGAGGATGGCTTGGCGAGGTCGGCCACAGTATAAACAATACGGCTTTCTCTTTGGCCCACTTTGTATCTCCACTTTGACCTGGCCCACAACTCCCGTCGATCATCCTGGGATGCCTTCGACAGTTATTTATCTCTACTACTGCAACTAATCATCCTTCGCGTCAGCCACGTTAATCCCAAGAATACGAGATATAGGGGCTGTTGTGCTTCCATGACGAACACGGGAGGAGCCGCGATGGAAGGATTTCTTTAAAGAATGCTAGTGGCTTCCCTGTCCGCGTGAAGTTTACACCAGTGCATAGCACAATCTGAGGGTATGCCTTCGATAACTAACTAAATGAGTCAGAAATTCCTAACAAAGTAAAGCTTATGGTGAAAGACCTGCATCATGCACGCGTGAAGAAATGTCCGACCAGTAAAACCGGGAAGCATGGATGTTAGGCACTCCGTACACGGAGGACAATAACGCTCCGGTGTGAGTAACTCATCCCCTGCTGGCTGGGTTTCATCGATCAATGTCCTTCCAAGCTTGCTGAGACGGGAGGCCGCAGATCTGCAAACTCTCAGAAACTCGGCTGATCCTCAGCATTGGTATATAACCGGCAACGTCAGCTCTACCGCCAATCATTGGGTGTCGGAGGATTTTCTGACGGTATTACCGATACTCAGCCTGACGCTTCCGGTGTGGCTTGCCACGTGATGGGTCTAGATGAGACTGTTTGTCTGTGGACATTTCAACTGACTCCTGAAACTGGGAGTTGCAGAGTCTAGCCCTCAAAACCCCCGTTACAAGCACTAAATGATGACCTTTGCAGAGGTGCAGCCGCAAGAAACCGGCTGAACTGGAGTTGCCCTGGGATACAGACGGAAGCTCAACTTCAAGCAGGTTGTCAAGTTGAACTACCTTAGGTAAGTTAGGTTGCATAGTTTGATAGCCAAGAAAGGAAATATGACAGTGTCGATGATGCAACAGCAAACCCTACAGCGACACATATGGAGGGTCCCGTTCGCCGAATCAGGAAGAACCTTTGTGGGTTTCTCGACAAATTTCGCCATGGGAGCCTAACTTTGTCCTACCTCCACGACAGCCGAATATTTTCGAAGCCATGGACAGAACTGGCTGCTGTGGCTGATTCTTTGGAAAAGCTTGCACAAGTTATACGTCATCGTCAATCATCATAAAAGTTGTCATTCTGATTATCTAGATACTACTAATAATACATCATGCTGCTAGCGCCAACTCCCGCAACACTGAACTTCCCGTGACCGCTGCGGCCTCTTCTAGATATGGCCGATCAATAGCGAACGGCTTGCCCATGACGTTGGGAATAAATTTGCCCACCAGGCGGTCGACCTGTACATTCTCTGCTTGGATCCGCTCTTCCAGGAATCGTCGGTAGACAGACACCCCGGAGCGAAGGTGTGACGAATGGAAGGGAACGTCGATGCCTTGCAATGGGATAGTCGCTCGCCCCCGTTTCAATTCAGTGGGGTTGTTCAATTGGGGTGCCTTTTCAAGATGAACGGCAATCTCTTTGGCTACGTCAGTGATGGCGGGATCAGCAGCGCGGCGGAGCGAGTCTACGAGCTGAGGGCCAGTGCTGGATTGGGATAGAAGGTCGAGGATGCCGGTCAAGACGTAAATGTTGCGGACCTGGAATTCATGAGCATGATGTGGGGAATGTAATGGGCTACGACTTACGTGTCCGGCACAAACATATTGTTCGGCTTCAACATTGAAATTGACGATCTCCAACAGATTGCCACTTTGTCGGTGGATCAAATCCACGACGATGCGTAGCATGGCTTCATCGAAATCTATGCCGGTGTGAGTCTGGTGAAAAATGCCTGAGCGAAACAAAAACAAAGCTTACATTTGCCCACCCTCTTCGGACTGACGGCTACCATAGAGAACCCGGTGTGTCCATTGGAGTCGCGCTCCATGGTGAACTGCATCACCAACCCACGATAGAAGACGACGCTCATCATCATCTCAAACGGCAAGAAGTCAACTAATGAGGCTAGGACTCCGTACTCGCCTAGAGAGTGGCCTGCGAAGGCAGCCCCCTCTTGGATGAGACCATTTGCCTTCATATCCTCGAAGGCGGCCTTTTCCATTAGTAGGATAGCCGGTTGAGCAAATTGCGTGGCATAGAGCAGGCCCCGGGAGTCGAAGAAGGTGTACGACTCCGATTTGGGCGTAAGATCGCGAAGGATAGGTTCGAGCCTGGTGGAACCGTCTGGCATTCTGGTTTCCGTCCTCATCGCCAGGTAGTTGTCGCGGATTCGTCTGCCACGAGCCCCACGGAAGTGGATGGTGATCTCTTTGGGATTGGCACGGACAACGTTCAGGATTGACCAGCCTAGATATGTTAATGTCAGCTTCCGAAAGATTTTCCTTACGTATAACGCTCATCGTAGCCATGAAAACAGCGAGTCTTCAGGGATGTGAGTGATTAGAACACAACATACCGTATTGATCAAGAAGACGGCGGTCAACCTCATCCCATACTGCTCGAGCAACCGGGCTCGACTCATACAACTGCATTCCCATGCTCTGTGCCTGGCTGCCCTGACCGGTAAACAGGTACGCGGAAGTTCGCTGCTCCACTTCGGCTTCCCCTTGCAGTACCTTCTCATCGGTACCCTCTCGGTATGCCGCAACGGAGAGTACCATGCGCCCGTGACACATGGCTTCATGTCGGATCCGGACCGTGAGTTGGTCGCCTGGCAACACCATCCCAACGAAAGACGCGGAGAAGCTTCGAAGCCGACCCGTCTCACCGTCCGCTGCCAGACATTCCGTGACCGCACGCGAAACGGCGGCGGTGTACATGCCATGGGTGATAGTGCCGGGAAGGTCTGCGAAACGTGCAAAGACAGAGGAGGTGTGGATGGGATTGTAGTCCTTGGATACGGAGCTGTAGAGGGCGTTATTGAATGGTAAGCGGATGGTCCTCGATCCGTTATCGATCAGGCCTGGGTGCTTTAGAGGAACCTTCTCTTGGACCACTGTGCCCTTGCGCTGCAGGAAGTCAATCACGGGATTGCCATGACATTCAGCCAGCTCAGATACAACGCTTCCAACTCTCTGCTCGGTGCCATTCCAATGCTTGGCGTAGATCGATCCAGTGGTCTTCAGGCTAGCGAAGGTAGATTGGTCCTTCCACCGGGTCACGGTGTGTAGACGGAAGACGAGGGTTTTGTTGATCAATGACTGTGTAGGGTCATCCAAGAGAAGCCATTCACGGTCTCGCAGAAGGGCTTCATCTATCGCGGACTGCACCTTTAGTTCAGTCGCGGCTTCGTCCTGGTGACTGAAGGTGGTCTCGTAATCGGAAAAGGATCCCTTAATGAAAAACTCCGAAGTCACAGTGGCCACTAACGTCTGGGACCGAAGGATTTGCGCCTCGACACTGATCGTCTTGCCAGTTTCCTTGATGGTCACTGCACGCACCTGCGATTTGGTGGCGACAACATCGTTGACCTCCAGTGGAGTGGCGCCAGGAGCGTACCGGATGCTATTGGAAAGATGGACGAGGCGGAGCAAGTCGCCCTGGAGCTCTGCAACAAATAGCGGCTCCATAAGGGGTTTCCAAGCGGCAATAATCGCGGCCTCGAGGGGTAAGGTGTTTGTTGTGGCGGATGCAGTGGCATCTGGGACTGTATGACGGAGAGCATTGTGAAGGTGACGATGAAGATCGGACGAAAGGGTGATTTCCTCGCCCTCAAAGACGTCACTCAGCCGGTGGGAACTGAGATCGGCACGACCGCGCCACAGATGAGCATAGAACAATTTCACTCGGTCGTCACGCCCCTCGAGATTCTCTACCAAGGAAAGACTCTTCGAATTGCACTGGTACGTGAATCGTAGAACGGCAGGGGTCTCCAGGAAGTCATAATAATAGAAGTCTACAGCAACCTCCTCAGCACCACTGGGCTTGATGTGGACTAGGGGACGGTTCTGCGTATCTTCTACTAGCAGTAGATCACTGCCGCCTAGGGGTAGCTGGACTGATTGCCCTATCCGTGGCTCTAGAACTCGGCGCAAAGGATTCGCTTGTCTCTGGGAATCTCGTGTGACTTGCTCAGCCGTGAGAACGCTTCGGACGCCACCCGTGACTTGGCTAGCCAGGAATGTTTGCCAGTCTTCGACAGAGAGCAGGTTCTCAGATGCAGGACGGATGATACGATGGGTGTTGCTTTCCGTTACGGTGATTTGGGATGAGACCATCTCCGATATGGCCAACGGAGGCCGATCCGTTTGAGGCCGCTCCTCCTCGAAACGGTCTACAAGCCCATGGTGGATCTCATCAAGGATGTCCTTGGCTGACTGGTCTTCCCGACGCGAGTATTGCACGGCCACGGGGCCTTGGAGGATACACACCCGCTCAGCGTCCTGGTCGATGATTGCATCCACATCCTCCGACTGCCACAGGGAGTCTTTCTTGAACCAGTACTCGAAGTCTTCATCCAAAGCTGGGATAAAGTTGACGGGCTTGCGACCACGCTTTTTGCAGGCTGTGAGAAAGAAGCGGACATCGTCTGGGTGTAGACGACGTGTGGTTGCCGCAGGGCAGAGTTGTTGCACCTGCTCGACGAACTGTTCAGGGCGACTGAGGTCAAGCTTGTCCGTCGCATAAACGACATCGGAGACACGCTCTAGAGTTCGGTAGGTGAAGTCCAAAACGAGCTGACGGTAGGATGCGTCAATCCACCGGTGTTGGTGGCTAACATAGACTAACCGGATCAAGCGAGCAATAACTTCAGTATACGTCATGTCCTCTAGGTCGACGGCATCACCGGCAGCATTGTAGCCAAACCACGGCTTGGCAAAATCAGCGCTGAGACGACGTATGATCTCAGGCTTACGCGCAAGGAGTGCAGCAACTCGTTTGTCCCGAGGCAAGCTGAAGATAGTCCTGTCCATCTCATGCCACAGCCGAACTCCACGGGTTGCCAGCTTGTGAATCGGCTGGCCCATCTCCGACTGAACGGTCAATACTCCGCCGGTGGGCTTCTTGAAGGTCTGCTCCCATTCCGAGTCGGGCACTCCAGCAGCTGCTAAGATCAGCTTCTTTGCTTGCGTAGATGTGTGCGCCTCCCGGGCGACCATCATCCGACTGCCTATGAGGATACCATCACAAGGCATCAAGGCGTGACCGAATGGCAGCGACCATTCACCCGTGATATATGGGTGCATTTGGTCCGCCTGGCCAAACCCACTGCCCACAACCAGATACAGATTGGAACAGCGGCGGATATCCCGGTACGTCTGCAGAAGTGGTTCGTGGAAGTCCTCACAGGAGTGGTGACCACCGCCGCGGCCTCCAGTCCACTGCAAAATAATCGGGAACGAGGGGTGCATTTTAGCGATTTCAATTACCTCATATATGGCAGCGATAGAACCCGGTTTGAGAGAAAGATGTTTGATACCCAGTGTCTGGATCCATTCTTTCACCACGTCCAGCGAGGGAACTCCAGCTCCGATCGTCAACCCATCTATGGGGATTCCCCGTTGGATCATGCTGCGGATGAGGGGGATCTGGAATGCAATTGAATGAGGGCTGGCATAGATGAGATTGCAAGTGATGCCACGGCCAGGCGGAACGTGGACCGCTAATTTCTCAATCGCAGCTGTCATGCCAGCCGCGTCAAAGTATCCACCACCGGCCAGCTCAACATGATAGCCTGCCTGCATCACCGCAGCCACAAAGTCCCAGTGTACCGTAGTGGGTGTCATCCCCGCTGTGATAATAGGCGGGGCTTGCAGCAGCTCACTGAGTCGCGTCTCGAGTGCGGGCTTGCCATCTGGGCCCGCCACCAGCCGAGCTTTGAAGAGGTCCCCCCAGGGGACCGGCGCCTGTGACGGCTTCGCGGTTAGTAACTCCGCTTTACCACCCAGGGTAGTGGTGTCTGTTGGGGCTAGCACCGTCCCTGCGATGATGCGAACTCCTCGGCCATCGACAATTTCAGAAACGAGATCACTGAGACGGCTACTGCTGAGAAGCACAATGTGGGAGGGCGGCGTAGAACGCGACACCTGCAACGTTGCAGGCCAATCCACAGTCTCACATGCTACTGCCTCGACCAAGCTTTGGATTAGGTTGGTCGATGGGCTGAACATCTCGCGCATATCCTGGCCAGTCCGTGTATGAAAGACCGCAGTGAGGAGATCGCCCACTTTGGGCGACGAGGCATCCGGAAACCGTGCCTTGACGCGGTCCGCAGCGGCACGGAGGTGACTGGAATGGAAAGGAGCGCTAACAGGCAGGAAGGTATGATGGACAACGGGCTTGCGCTGACGGAAAGGCACCCGACTCTGATCTTGTCCATCATCGGCTTCGATCTCTCGCAACCGCAGACATAAGCCTCGGAGAGAACGTGGAGTGCCGGCTACCACCAGATTCCGTTCAGTGTTGATCAGTCCGATGGACACGTGCTCAGATTCCGGTAAACGGCGATTACAGTCCGCGATTAACGCATCAAGGGCAGGATATCGCAGGCCGCGGACACTAAGCAGCCATGAAGGGGATCCCTCGCCGTGCTCAATACTATCTCTGATGGCGGCGGACGATAATGGGGAGACCGGGGCGGCAGTGTGGCATTCATAGCCCATCCAAAACAATAGGCGGATGGCCCATTGTGCCTGTGCCAAAAACGACGCCCACGAGTCCGCTTGAGCGACGGCTGCAGCCACGATGATTCCCTGCGAGTGGCCAGTGAGGCCTTGTAGCGATGACCTTAGTCGCTTCGGGGAATCCGAGTTGAGCAATTTACCAAGCACGTAATAATGGGCCATGTCAAGTAAGCCAATTATGGGGAAACTGACTGCGGCTGTGGCTGTAAAGGCTCGGTCCGGACGAGACTCGGGGTTGGTCAACCAGGAGTAAAGGTCAATCTCACGACCCAAGTAGTGCTGTGACGTGGACGGATCCCGAGAAAGACTTGCGAGGGCTGGCGCTACTGATGCGATCAGCGGCTCAAGTAACGGTTGGTAAAGAGAATATAGCTCGGCCAATTCGTCAACACAGACAAGATTCGTAGATCCTTGGCCGCCGAAGGCCATCAAGATGCGGTGCGCGTCGTTGTTAGTTGTGGTGAAGAGCCCACTGGGGGCTGGACGGGGACTGAGACCTGCCACAGCATGTGCGCGGTAGTAGGTGCGTATAATATTCTTCGCCTCGGGCTCGGGCATAACCAGGTCGTGGATATTCGTGTCTCTCACGCACTGAGATTCGATGGCGCCGAGGAAAGCCCCTAGGGGAGCTGGTGGGCAATCTTCATCCAGGAGGAATTGTAAAAATGCAAACACTAACGCGAGAATAGACTGATCTTTCGAATGGTTCTGCAAGAAAGAGGCCTTTTGCTGGTCCAGGAAGGCCCCATCCTGTGCTGATACAAGGAACGTTTGCTGGATATTCCCCTGGGCAAGAGAGAAAGACCTTAAGGAATAGTCTTCCGAGGGTGTCACGATCGCAAGATCATAGGAACCAGAGCTGGGTGTAGAGGCCATGGTAAGGAAGGAAGTGAGGGCGCTGACAGAAAAGAGTAACCAGGATATTAATTATTGTTTGCAAAGGCGATGTGTCGGTCGTGCTTCACGCTGAGCGTCCTTCGATTTCTAGCACGGCGCGAGGCGATTGTTTCGGTTAACTGCTACTAGATATGTGGGCATTCCGTCTACTATTTACTCTATCCACACTGCGCGCGGATTATGATAGTCGGGAACGAATGTTACGCTGGGTCCTTACGCTGGGTCGGTGCGATCTCCAATATTCCTGGACGTGGACTGTGTGGGATGGCAAAGCAAATCTTACGCTGGGTTCTTACGCTGGGTCGCTCGGAGAGATCTGGCTGCCGGAGTTCGAGAGCCGAGACGCGGCCCATCGACGCCGAGCGGAGCGACAACATATCGCGCCTATAGCTTCTATACTCGGGATTACCAGTTAGTTGGTTATAAAATGAGGCTAGCTTGGAGAACGAGGAAATACACCAGAATCACAGTTTATGACGCAAAAGCGAAAATGACGATTCCAGCGGCGGACGACAATAACTGTCCTTCCTACGACAAGGTGATCGATTTGATCGTCGAATACGCCTATGACTATGAGATTGACTCCCCAGCCGCCTGGGCACGGGCCAAAGCTGCCCTTCTGGATGCGCTGGGAGCTGCCATTGAAAGTATTCACACTAGCCCGGAATGTGCCGCCATGATTGGCCCTGTCTGGCCCAATACAGCCACGGTGCCAGGGGGCTTCCGAGTGCCCGGTACTCAATTGCAGGTGGATGCTCTCAAGGGTGCCTTTGACCTTGGGGGCATGATCCGCTACCTCGACCACAATGATGCCTTTCCTGGTGCTGAATGGGGGCATCCATCGGGTAAGGATGAGCCCCATTATCCACACCTGCCGTCCGTCTGTTCTGACCGATGACTAGATAACCTTGGTGCGATCCTCAGCACCGCCGACATCCTCAGTCGGGAGGCCCTTGCTCGTGGCAACCCTGACAAAGTAATCTCCATGAAACAGGTCCTCACTGCTCTGATCAAGGCGTACGAGATCCAGGGCGTGTTCCAGATCCGCAACGCCTTCAACAAGGTTGGCCTCGATCATGTCATTCTGGTCAAGGTTGCCTCGTCGGCTATGGTGTCCTGGCTCATGGGTCTATCTCGTGATCAAGCCCGCGCTGTAGTCTCGCATGCCTGGGCCGATGGTCATCCGCTGCGGGTCTATCGACAAGCGCCAAACGCGGGACCCCGGAAAGGATGGGCCGCCGGGGATGCCTGCATGCGTGCTGTACATCTGGCCAACCTGGTTCGGTGTGGCCAGCCAGGTATCCGCTCTGCGATCACCACCCCGCGTTGGGGATTTTATGATGTTTTGTACCGTGGTCAGACCTTTGAGCTACCCCGTCCATTCACCAGCTGGGTTATGGAGACGGTCCTCTTCAAAGTTTCCACAGCTGAAGGGCACGGATTGACCGCGGTGGAAGCAGCATTGACCATCGCGCAAAAGATGGCCCAGCGTGGGCTCCGGCCGGAAACCGACATTGTTAGCATTCGAGCAAGAACCCAAGAGGCCGGAATGATCATCATCAATAAGAAGGGCCCACTGCACAACGCCGCAGATCGCGACCACTGCCTGCGGTATATGGTCGCCGTGGTCCTGCTCAAGGGCAGTCAAATCACGACCGCCGACTACCAGGACAGCAGTCCCTGGGCTCGTGATCCTCGCGTAGAATCACTACGCTCTATCACCACCATGGAAGAGGACCCGTCATTCACCCACGATTACCATGATCCTCAGTGCCGCAGCGTGGCCAACGCATTGGAGGTGACATTGCGGGATGGCACCAAGTTGGAAGAAATGGTTCCGTTCCCCCTGGGCCATGTACGTCGGCCCGAGACTCTACAGCTGGTTCGGGAGAAGGCCCAGCAGAATTTGGGCTTAAAGCTTTCCTCAGACAGGGTGGAGCAGATTCTGGACACGGTAAATTCGCCGAAGTTGGAGAAGATGGCCGCTAGTGATTTTGTAGACCTATTCGTCCCACAGCCTGTATCGAGCGCTGCATGAATGCTTAGAAAGATATGAAATATGACATATTACCTTAATTCAGTCATCAGTACCTATTCATAGTTCTTATAGTAGATTACGCTCCCTGGAGCTGCCTGGCAGCCAACGCAGGGGTGTGACTCGTAATAGTGGGCCCGTTCCTGAGAACAGATCGGATCGACATTAGCGGTGAATACGAGATTTTAAAGACATATATTGAGCTTCTGCCCCTGAGAAGCAAACCCCACTTGAAACCTCAGCGAGGGTTATTGTAGTGATATAGCCTCTCCTGACAACCAAAATGGGTACGTCATTTCTCGAATAGTCCACAGGAGCTATGCTCACAGAATTAACGGTTTTCGTTTAGGATACTGGGAGGTCCGTGCATACTTGCAATACGTTTTGAATGCCATTTTCTCTGCACAATCTCCATTTGTACATCCAATTAAGCCATCCCAGAAATTCTGACACCAAAAAACAGGTCCCCTGTCAATTCTGCGGCGTCCACTTCAACATCAGCCGCATCCGCTCGAAATGGGAGCCGAGGTCAGCGGCTTTCGGCCCTGGTGGTCGTGGCGGATGGGTCGAGGGACGGGACTTCACAAGGGATGAAGAAGACGAGGAAGAGCGGGCGCAAGATATGTACGATTACGATGACTGCTCATCCGAGATGGGGTGCTGCATGGCTCTCCGACCTCCTGGGTTTTATAACCCGAGACCCCTATTATACGATGATGACCCAGCGGGTGGTATTCATCTGGATGACCCTAACTATGAATATCAGAGTGATTCTGGGGATGAACCTCTAGAATACGAGTCAGGAGCAAGTGATGCTGAGGATGAACGTATGGAGACATCCGACGATGAATGTACAAATCAACTAGAGTGGACGTTTAAGGTACAGGGGCCTGATCACCCGGAATACGACACCAAGTTCTACCCCCTCTCAACACAACTAGGCGAGAGTATTTGGACCATCAATGCTGATGGCTCTAGGACAATGAACAAGGAGGCCTACGACAAGTCCAGATGCTATGAACATATTGCTGGGCCAGACTGCCGAAATAGCCGAGCTTACTTGGGGAGGAATATCTTCGCCGAAGAAATGAGAGGCTGCCATACCGTTCAGTGTATCCTTGCGAAAGGACCCGGTTGGAAACCTCGAGTGGACGATCTCGACTTCGAACGGAAGAGTCAATATCATCTGACGGGCGTCGCGCAGATCATGCCTTCATCTGGAGATGGATTGATATTTGCGCCGGTTCGACACGGTGTCAATAATATTCGGGCGGAAACTGAATTTTTGTTCGCAACGGTATAGCACATACTCAACGTTACTTTCGCTGCAGTGCAATATAGATGACTTACTTGTCGCAGTCTCAGGAGGAGCTCAACGAGATCGGGCTACCGTTTCATCCAGCATGCTTTGAGTTGTTTATCCAAGCGAGCAAGCAGTGTTTAGGGGAAGTTGACATGGATACGTTGGTCCGGATTCGTGACAGAGGATGTATGACAAGCCAGCCCTTTCCAATTGAAAACCACGAACATGTCACAGAAGGACAAGAACAGGTCTGGAACCATCAGGTCGGCCATGAGTACCTAGTCGCCAATCCCATATTTGTCCCTGCGCTGAAGCCGATCATCAAGTCCGCCATTTCCACGGACAAAGGGTTCAGCGTCCACAGCAGCCCCTTCGACGCCAGGAATCAAACAAATACCGTATCATCCGCCCCGGATCCTTTCCTAGCATTCCCCATTGAAATCAGTTTGATCATCATTGACTACCTTAGCTCCCAAGACATTGCCGCTCTTCGACTCGCCTCACGCGCCTTCACACACTTACCGAATTCGCTATGGCATCGGCTGGTCGTTCGGGAAATGCCGTGGTTGTATGAAGCGTGGTCGTCGGATCCGACGCCATACTATTGGGCCACTGTAATCACCCACGACGTGCACCAGGAAAAGGAAGCTCGAGAAGAGTGGGACCGTGACATGGAGAAACAAAGACTTGTCATCGCTGAAGAGATGCCTGAAGTTCAGGCTGAATGGCTGCGAAACCAACCACAGTGGGAATGGCCGGACCACCCGGACAGACTGGAGGTTCTCGGTCTGAGTCCCGTCAAATTGGATTATAATAACACGAATTGGTATCAGCTCTACCGGGACATTACTGTCAATTGGAAACAGCTCAAAGGGCTACAGAACCGTGCTCGGATTTGGGACGCCATGATGCAGATTGTTGGTGCGATCAAGGATGTGCGTGAGGAGTGTTTAGAGGGGGGCAGTAGTGCTGTTATGGTTTAGTGATCCTGTAAGCATATCGGCATTTTATATAGTCGGGTGCTATGGGTGGGTCGTGCATTCTATCAAGATTTTTCGGAACTATCCAATAAGGCTTGACGGATATAATCCATTTTTGTATTAAACTACACGCAACAAGCTCTGGCAGCACATTAACCTTTTCCTTAAAAGTGTTTAACATGGCAAACCAGATAGTGGAATGGAGACTGTTGAATACGAGATGACTCATTCAGTGGGCCAGCGGACCACACGGCATCGTAACCATCAGTCTCGGTAAACCTATATATAGCTCGACGATACCCACCGGCAAAAGTTCCCACAGCATACCCATCCATACCCAAACCCCAAAATCACAGCCATGCCAATCCTACCACTCCTCCCCCAACAATCCCAAACACCCGCGATCCACACGGCCCGGCTTCTCCTCCGACCGTTTCGGGCCGCGGATCTTCCCGCTCTGCACGTTCTCCGAACCACTCCCGATGTCATGCGCTGGACCCGACAGGGGCGCATCGACGCCACGACAGAAGAAACGAGTAAATGGATGGAACGGTTCACACATGACACCGAAGCAGGGGAACGACCGAACTACAATTTCGCGGTCCTGCGCAAAACGATCCAGGGTGAAGTCTCGGCCACGACGTCCGAGGAAGGCGATCTTATTGGCATTATGGGCATCGTATCTATTACCGCTGAGGACGGTCCCGAGGTGGGATATCTATTTCTGCCTGAGACGTGGGGGAGCGGGTACGCCACGGAAGCGCTGAAGGGGTTTGCGGAAGCGTGGTGGAGGTTGCCGATTCCTGGGGACGGGGTCTCTGGGGCTGCGGAAGTGGGGACATTGCGTGCTGTGACGGATAAGACGAACGTGGGGAGTGCGAAGGTACTGACTAAATGTGGATGGACGATTGTGGGGGAAGGTGTTGATGGGGTGGGCGAGAAGAAGGTAGAATTGTTGCATTGGATGCTGCGACGCCCTGCGGTTTGACGTTTTCTGGAAATGGGGCGTCCAGTTGTCGAGTGTTCCCTCAGTTTTGGGCTTTGTGGGGTTTGGTATATGTGGTTGTTTGTTGTATATACGCGTGTATCCATAGAGTTGTATATAGCGAGTCCATGATGACATCTTCATATGAAAATGGATGCGAAGCCGCATTTGGGAGTAACGTGCTAGGACTTGCCAATCAGACACATTCACACGGACAGCAGTAAGAGGAATGGACACCTTGATGCCGGACGTGATATACGTAGTCTAAATGTTGCATTTTTGCATCCTGTATGAAGGAGGCGAAGGCCATCAGAGGCAGAGTCGTCGTTCGCGGTGATAAGTGAGACAAATGACGTAAGCAAGCCGTTTCCCATTTGCATTCATGCCACCGGCTAAACCAGAATTACTGGGAACTGAAGGTGGAGTATATCATTGACTGCAGCCGTTGAGCGATCTTCACCCTTTTCCTGCTCTCCACAGGAGGCTGATGCGAAACAGCGATTCGGATTCCGATCGCGCCGCCACTTCTGTCGCAAAAACGCGGCACTTTGACAAAGTATATCGGACCGCCATATGTCATAGATTTGTCCCAGTCTTATGCTAATGGCCCGTTGGTGTGTACTCTCCACGGCAGAGAGCCCAGCTACAACCAGCGGCCAGCAAAGAATGTTATTCGACGGGGCGTCGGGTGGTAGATGGCCCAAATTGTCAGCGAATGCTATGACAAGCGCCTGAATAGGTGGACTGTCGTCAGACAGCGCGGGATCTAGAACCTTTTTGATATATATCAGACATGCCAGGCGGTAGAGTTCGGATGTTATTGCGTCATTAAGCCAGGCGATATCTGCGTCTGTTCTTGGGGGAAGCTCAAGTTGCCAGGTGATCAATTGCTGCGCAAGCCCGGTAAGCTCTGTTCGTGCCGGTGAGTCGTGGAACTGCCGCTCGGATGCGACCTTCTCCGCCAACATGGATATTCGAAAGATACACATGAATAGACGCTGCGATGTGCCCATGACATTGCCTTGCTGGAGATATTGGGTGACAATGGGAGAGCTGAAGATGGCAGATGCTTGACTAAGCGAAAGTCTAGAGCCGTGCGAGAAGGCTACTAGGGAGAAATAGTAGCAAAATAGTTCGAACAAAAAGCTTCGTAGTGGCAGGTCGTCGGGAGTGTCATGCAGGCGACGAAGCAGGAGCGCGGCGGCAGCGTTAAGATGGGGCACTATGCGCGTGCTGTTTGTAAAGTTCTGACACTGCTACCTTTAGTTTCTAAATCGAAGCCAAATCGGAGACAGCGAAGCGGAACAGGTTCCGTCGCGTTGGCGCATACCTCATGCAGACACAACAGTAGGACTGCCAAAGGGGTGTAATCTAATAAAGGTCAGCGTTCAAGTAGCAAGTTCCATGACATGTCTCATTACTAACCGGATCCCGGCAGGTTGTATGCAGCCACAGCAGTCAGCTCCTCGTTCAGCGATCCCTGCAAAGCGGAAACGGCCTTCCCATAGTACTCTACTGCTACGGCTCGCACTTCGACATCGCCACGACAATATTTGGCCAGATCAGCCGAGGCTATCATGAGAACACAATTATGAACCAGTAGGTTTTGCGAGACCGCGGGCAGCAAATATTGCAGAAAGTCTGATCTGCGTTTCCCAGTCCTGGTTGATAACCACCTTGGGCTGTGATCTATAAAATGTGACAACAGCCGCTGCACCATCCCGGGCTTCGGGATGGCGAACACATTGACCATTTTCTGTGCCTCATGCGGCAGTTGGGTCACCGCAAGCTGCCGACGACAACGTGGCCGTCGTGTTTTAGACACCAGCTCATTAGAAACCCACTCGCAGGGAAGCTGATTTCTGTTGCAACCACTGCATATCGGGTGCCGTTCGTCGCACTTTTTCTTACGGCGTCGGCACGTTAAGCAGCCTGTTCGAGATCGGGTTGAGACATTACCCATGGTCGGTACAAGGAAGGTATCATCGATACGGTAATTATATCCCATGTCCAATGGCTCGTTGAACCGTAGTGGCTGCGTACGAGTGAACGTCAGATGGGATTGCGCAGATCTAACCGGTCCACAGGCAGCGCTGGGGAATGCCCGTGACTCAGATGTGTTGCAGGTCTACCCACCCTGCTATACTAGCTTTGATGAACAGGTCTGTGAGCCGGGACAGGAATGGATATGGGACCAAAATCGAATGATTGCATGGAGCATTTCGGTCCTGCTGGCAGCCGATGCGCTATCCCTGATCGGGTATGACTGGTGGGTCCGGTGGGTCTCAATGCTGATTGGTCCTCGGGACCGCGTTCTTTCTGCTGGTAGACTTCAATATAGCATCATATGGAGTAGACTACCTAATCATTTTCATATAGTGTCTACTAGTACAAGACCCAATAGACAGAACAATCCCCGGTAATCCAGTAGTACGAAGATGCTTGACTGTGGCCGGGGTGTACGTAGAATGTCTCAACCGTCGCCTGAGCACTCTTTCAGTTCACACCTATCAAGCTGGGAAATGGTGTTTGTGGCACGCCAGGGTATCTTCCGTGCCTATCGCTCGTATTCAGCTTCCGATAGAAAGAAGGGCGTCAACCAAGCTCTAATTTGTGGGTCGGTAGTAGCGAACCACCTACAAATCGTCCCAGTGCCTAAGAGAAGCTTCATCTCCGGAAGTATGGTATGTAGCCAAGAACTAGATTATTAGGTCATGGTAAGCGAAGAGTTCGTTATACGAGCTCTCGTTTGATCAAGAGCGGTGAAAACTGTGCTCCAAGCGATGGTCGGTAAGGATGGTTTCATTTCGTTCTGCGACACTACAAATGAGATACGGTTATCGTTATGTAGGAAAAAGAAGCAAAAATCCCCGGCTAGCCATGTGTCTCAAATCTTCCCACGTCATAGGTCTAGAGATACACAGACTGCTTCCCTAACCCAGACGGAATTCCGGCTATACAACATAATTTGTGCCTATGTCCCAGGCCGGTCAACCTGAATATGTCTTAGATCCCCTCAGTCTCACCGCCATGTTGTTGCTGCTGTTGCTGCTGCTGTTGCTGCTGCGGCTGTTGTTATTCAAAAGCAGGGTCGCCCATCACTATCCCTTAATCTGCTCCATCTGCTCTGTCTGCTCTGTCTGCTCTGTCTGCTCTGTCTGCTCTGTCTGCTCTGTCTGCTCTGTCTGCTCTGTCTGCTCTGTCTGCTCTGTCTGCTCTGTCTGCTCTGTCTGCTCTGTGTGATGTGTCTGTCCTGGCTCCTCCATTTCCTCTCACTACTTAATCTCGTCCAAGTCCCAGCTGTTGTTGTGTTTTGAAGTTCATGATGGATGACTGTAAAGTTAGTGACCCCTTCCGCCAGGGCCAAGATGAAGTCGCGGGCCACCCCGGCTTCAGACATTACCTTCAACTCTATCACTCCAAGGATCAGCCCTCTGGCTATCATTCGGATGAATTGCCATCCGAAGGATCCAATCCTCGCAATTCGGTTCGTGACAGTCGGCGGAAGATTCGTCGTTCAAATTCACCACGTCACTCCAAGCACAACGTCGTTCCCCAATCGATCTCTCCCCCTGTATTGTCACCGTCGAAACAGAGTGGGTGGTCAATCCTCGATTCCAAGGTGTTCGAATGCAACTGGGATCTTTCCGATCTTATGATAGAGCTTCTTAGTGTCCCTCATGGGTCTTCGGTGTCGGGTGATTCCTATGCTCACCCGGATGTAATTGGCATAGAGAAGGACCTTTTCGATATGCTGACATTGACAAAATCAGAAAAAGGTGTTAAGGTGTTGACCTGTAGGGAATACGTTGCAGAGATGTACGGCAAAGAAGGGGTTAGGCTTCTGAGCCATATCATACGAGCTCAGATGAACGATGACCACAAATCCGGTGAGTGAGTGTTTGCAAGTACATGTCATTATCAGTTTTAACAAAGGAATAGATGACAATGACATGTTGGTTCAGATAGGCACGTTGAGCCTTTTTGTTCTGTTGCGACCATCGCTTAGCCACCTCTGGGACTTACTCCTGTGGGTATGCCTGACATTCCGTCGACCAGTGCGGGGAAACGTCTCTGTGTCAACGGGGATAATCGATGGGAATAAGGTGGCTCTCAAACGTTTAACTCAGTTGGAAAGGCTAGCGAATAGCTGTTGGCTCAGTCTCTTCGAAACCGCGGTCATTGCGTCAGACCCTCGCATTCAGCCCGAAGAGGGATTCCACTTGAATCTGAACTTCCATCTCATGCTTCAATTGGCAGCAGTCGAGTATCCAGTCATGGTTGACCCTGGCCTGGTACTCATGGGATACTCAACTGCTCTCGTCCCTGTGCGGAAGGATCATGAATCAGTCCTCTGGCACCTGGAAACAGCGAACCACGACTTTCAATTGCGAACCACTGAACTTGCAACAGTCAAGAGAGATTGGATGAAGACAACAAAGTTGGAGGACCTCCAAACAAAGACGGTCTTGCTGGGCTGGTGCCCAGAGGCAGTGACGCAACTAGGAACGAAAAATGTAAATTCCACAATCGGATGGTCTGATGCGAAGCCCAAACACACTACATGGAGTTGGACTGGAGCAAGCCTGCAGTTGATAGCAACGAGCGTATCTCCGTTTCAGATTGGAGGAGGGTTCAGCATAGCCTTTGAGAGAAGAATCAACACACTACGATTCAGCCCTCAGAGAAACTATGCCAAATGCCTCCGCAGTAGTGCAATGGAGCCAATTATTCTGTATGATGTTAGTGAGTCGAGGGCTTGGCTCGTCCCCTTGATTATCGTGTTCCATCAAATGCTCCTAGCATACTGCGAAAGAATACCAGAGGTATCCTCGAAAGGAACCGTACCAATAATGAAGGCTCCGTCCATCGGTGCTGATCAATCGTTGCGCCACCTTCAATCTTGCGGTTCATTGGTGATTGAAGGCTCCGGAGACGACAAGCTGACTGTTCGGGAATTAATACTTGGCTTTTCTGTCAATATGTCCAAAGCTCGCTTGCATGCCCGACCACATTTGGATGTAGAGAATGAAGTACCTTGGCTGTATTCCCCACTACACCGTGATATGCAGGAATATCCTAGAAGGTGCAGAGCTGTTGGTTGCAAATCTCATTGTAGACAGCATAACCGCTGTTCTCTACAATAGTGCTGTCCGTAGTCGATTTTGATGGGTTGTTCGATCCACAGATATTCGTGCAAGATTGCATCTTCTTCATCCTCACCAGCATTATCAGGCGGCTCACGACCCTTGCGCACCGTTTCCGGGCGGCCACAAGCTGTGGAGTGAGTTCATCGTACAGTTCGCCGCGCTCCATTCGGCAGGGGTTGTTATCTTCGTTGATGTTGGTCAACATGGGGGAACTGGCGGCTGAAACCAGCAAACAGAACGGCAAATAGTCAGAACCAGAGGTATTTCAAGGACAGGTAGAGGATAACCGGGCTTTTTAAAAGCAATCTCAAGGATACTCCTACAGGATATAAATATTTGCCTGGCCGACTTGTCGAACTTTGGTAAGCGACCAGTCTAGCCATACCAAGCGATGGAATAGCCGCCATGGTGGAGCAGAAAACTACTGATCTTAGCAGTCATGTTCAGAAGAGCGCCCTTTATTAAATTAACTAATAGACTATTAAGATACGCAACTTTCCAGGGTATCAATAGGGCACGATTATGTAGAACCAAAAAAAAGATGACTAAGACTTTGCGACACAAATGAAAAAGATGGCGAGAAAGTGGCTTTGAAGTAGCACTGAAGCCGACCGGCCAAGAACGATATTTTAGTTCTGTGCTGACGCAGACCTCTTCTGCTCACTCAACTGAGGCTGGTCACCCTCTTTATCCGGCTGTAATGCCAGGCAGCTATAGTCTCCAGGCTGCGTAGATCCATTGGGAATATGAAACCGCCTGTCAAAGCGGCTAAAGGTCAAAAGACTGAGGATCATGATCTCCAACACGAAGTTGAACACGTAGAAGCATGCCTTGGAGTCATACCAGGGTGGGTTGGTTACAGGCTGTGGAGGGGACCAGTTGGCACCAGCTTTGAACCCGGCAATGAGAATACATAGGCACGACGAAATAATGACAATTATGGCTTTGGTAGTCGTCCTCCCCTGCCCGAAGGGGTCCTCCTGTGGTGATCTGGGTAGGATAAATGCGATGGAGACCTGTACAAGAGGAAGACAGGTAAATATGAGGAGATAGGTAATGGCTGCCAGTTGGACGTCGCGACATTGGGACCGAGTATGCATATTGAGCGTGTATAAGGATACCACTGTGGATGTGATTACCATCACCAATGCCCCAAGAATCAAGGCATAAAGAAGCTTGGAGCCTTGGCGCAGGATAGGGTGCCAGCCGATGTGAGGCTGCTTGCTGCGGAGAATACGCTGGGCGAGGATGAAGTTGATGATGTACGCCAGGAGAACTCCCGCATTGACAAAGATATTGGCGGCAATGGCGAGTCGGACATTGTGTTGTCGATTGGCCCAGGCTATGCGCAGGACCAGGGTGGTGATCCTTGCCATGCAGAAACCAAATAGCATCGCAGACTTCACGAACTTGTGGCCCCTCCGGCGGTTTTTCTGGAAGATAGTCATGTTTGTAGCGGCGAAGGCGATATACAAGACCAGGAAGACTGCACATATTGGGACGTCTGGTATGATGGTTGGAAGACCTCCCATCCCCGCGGTTGTGGACGCATATGGCCCACCACGAATCTGCAAAGACGAGGACATTTTCGGAAATAAATTTCTTGGAGGTCTGATGACAGGTCGTAGTGGTATTTCACTGCATTTGATCCTTGCAGTGAGAGGAGGCCTCCCAATGCGAGTGATATGGTCGTAGAGCACTATAAGAAATCCGATTCGCAATTCGGACGAATTACGGTTCCGCGGACCAACAGATTGGTCCGCTCCGACGCGCAACCTCACTTCATCCTACCACCACCACCATTAAATCACCCTATATTCTATTCCCTCCATCCTAATTCTAAACTTAATCTCGGAATTTCGGATGCCGGCCTTGAAAATGTCTCCGTCCGACATGCCCCGCTCCGGCTTACGGAAAGGAACGAAAAGCTGCACCGAGTGTAGGTTGGTTGTCAAACTTTACAAGATCTCCACGTCTGATCTCGGAAGACAGGTAGACGACGGAAAGTTCGCTGCATTAGAATTCCTCGAGAAGCGGATACATGTCAACAATGTGAGGATCGAGGGGTAGCCTGTACTGCACAGGTGTCGAAAAGGACGCAATCATCGCAACCCTCACGAATCCCATCACGACTTCGCATCGCTCAGCTCGAATCACAGGTCGCGCAGTTAACAGGTGTTGTGAACAACATCGAATGCAAGCTTGGCTATAAACCATCTCAGATCGCTAGCAGTAAAGACGACCGATTCTCGGGCTCCGACGACGAGGAAGGAGAAAGTAGTGGGTCGGATATTCCCATGGCTGAAAGACCATCACACCTGCAATCGCTATTCCAGAACCACTGGCTGAGCGCTGATCCATGCCAACATGAGCAGCAGGCGGAGCAACGTATGGATAAAATCTTTGCGCAATTGTCGATCGATGTGCGACCAAAACTCCAAAACATGATTCCACCAAAGGATGAAGTTGCGGATATTGCACGATCTCCCTACGATTGGCTGACCTTGCTTCATACACTATTCCCACAACCTCTGATGCTGAAGTCTCCACAAGAACTACTAAAGAGTTATGAGTCAATGTGTAGTCCCAACATAGATGTTATCATGCTAGCCTCTTGGCTCCTTACACTTGCACTTACCGCACAGCAAATCCATCTAGGACAGGAAGATTCCGACGTATATTTACAAAAGTGCCAGAGGAGGTTTGAATTTTGCCAGTCGATTATACATATAGTGGATGATACACTACTCTGCCATGATCGATTGGTGGGAACGATTCAAGGGCTTGGGATGGCTCTACATTTCATTAGACTGTGAGCGTTATCCCTATAGGAGAAACACCAAGAAAGAACAAAAGTGACTTGTGCACTGTGTCCTTATTTACGTGATATCGCTCCATTTCGCTTACCTTTGGGGTTTTACCATATGCTAACAGGTAGAAGGCAAGTAGGTCAAGGAAACTTTCAAAAGGCCTGGATTAAATTACGCCACATCATTGCCATAGCAGAATTGATGGGCTTACCTAGAGTATTCCAAGCCGTACGCTTCAACCAACCCACCGGCGCGAACGACACCTCGTTTCACAAGGTGCAGTTGTGGCAAGCAATTTGTAATATAGAACGGCTAAATGGAATGATCCTAAATCTTCCCCCAGGGACCGCACGGTATCAACTTACAACTGCTTCTCCACTTAATGTCGATGGCAGCATCCACATCACAACTTATCTCACCAGGCTTTTCAACATTTATATCAAGGTGTATGATCTGGATGAACTCAGTTATACACATGAATCTAGTATGAAAACGCAGATGGCCGCTCTGGAGATGGCTCAGGCCCTTGGGGAACTCGCGGGCCAGGCGCCAGATACATGGTGGGCAGGTGATGAACGAGATCACGTAACACCGGACGATGTTGTACAGTTTTTACATTACTGTGTCCTCATGAGAGTCTACCTACCGTTCGTGCTGAAGCAGAACCTTGGAGATGAGCTCATGTACGCTCGGCTACCGTGCATGAATGCTTGTGAATCAGTGGCACGCCGGTATTTAGCACTCCGGAGAAAGCTGCCCGTGGGCTTGTTCATGGCTCGAGTATTGGATCTGCAAGCCCTTACTGCAGCGTCCGTACTCCTTCTCCTCTCCCACCACATCCGCTCAACCGACCGTCATAGCCTCCGGGTTGATACAAGGAACCTCCATGCAGTAGTCTCGGAGGTCATCACTTTGATTGGCGAAAGGGCGAGAGACCCGACCAATTCCGAACTTGCAGTTGAGGCCTACAATACTCTTCGCGCTTTAGACCAGCTCCTTCGCCAAGACAACCACACTGGCGAGGCTGAAAGATTAACAGTTACAGTCCCGTTACTGGGAAAGATACATGTCCGACGTAACACCCGCTTAGCTCCGCGACCCCGGGTACCTAACCAGTCGTCGTCTCAGCCAGAGCCAAATGTAGATATTCAACGGTGGATTTCTGCATCACATCCACTGCAGAGTCAACCCAGCCTCGGCACGAACGTAGCTGCAAACGATAATTCAGCTCCCGACGAATGGCGATTGACTGACCTTTCCTGGTCAATTGAGGGCAGCCTTGATAACCTACTGGAAGATGTTTTCTTGAACGAGAGTATTGGGCAGTATATAAACATGTGAATTGCAGATCTGTTTCTTACCAGTGGTGTCTCTTTTGTTCTCATATATCTATTATTCTAGGCATGGTCTTTTTTTCGATTTCTCAGTGGGAGTCAGAATATTCGAATATAGACACCAACTTACACATGTCACAATTTCTCCAATCGCCATCATCAGTCAAGATGCCGTATATATCACGACCTTTCGTGATACTAGTCCACATTAGCCATGGCATTGGCCGCATCCATCAGGCTATAGACAATAGGTGATCACAATACCGATCCTGGAAGCTGGGGTTCGGTTTTGGGTAAGGGCAATATGCAGCTAGGAATGTGGAAACATTCATCATTATCACCCGCAGCACTCGGCAGACGCCAATGTACGAGTAAATCGTCTATTAGGTTTCTATTAGAGACTTCTTATCATTGTAGGTTTTACTGGAAGGAGGATGAAAGAAAACCTTGTTTATCTCTTTCTTTGTACACAGAGTGCTTCCCTCTCGCTCGGCTATAAGTACTAGATCAGTCTATTTCTAAACAAAAAGGATAGCCTCAAAAAGACTTCAGCCACACATCCCGAGTGGAAAAGGCCTCACCGAAACACCTCTCGTTGTTAAGTGGAATTATTCCTTGTCAAACTTAGAGAACCCTTGCCCCAAACGCCCCGTCCTAATATAACAAAGAGACTGCAATTCATATTATATCGCATATTGGCTGGATTGAACACAGGGGATCAACTAGTCTATCCCCTTTAATCAAATGATTCAACAAGCTGGGATACTATTTAGACTGATATCAAGAGCCTCAGGTTCCCGCTACACTTTTCACTGCAGCATGATCACTGTTCTCTATCTCCATATTCCTCAAGTTTCTTCTTCTTCTTCTTCTTCTTCTTCTTCTTCTTCTTCTTCTTCTTCTTCTTCTTCTTCTTCTTCTTCTTCTTCTTCGTCTTTTATTGTGTTCTTTTTCGATTGTGTCTGACTCGCAAAAGGATGCATCAATCGTGGAAGATTTTTATTACATATCTATCAGTGTTGGTTGCAAGCCAGGGGGTATTGATGGGAGAATCATATCTTCTGCACCAACTTTGTCCACACCTGGATGTTGTGGGTATAAATGATGTTGGTCAACGTATACGTCCGCCTGCACGAGATCCTTCACCAAATAGCCAACCGCGCTCACCGCCTCCGCCAAACCCGTCATCACGACCACCTGCACAATATCTGCTTGGCGACTGCGTGGCGCAGTCAGATTCTGTGTACCGTCTAACTACACAGCTGAACTTGGACCTCTGTCTTGGCTGGGATGGAACCACACGGAGCCTCGTGGCAAGATCTAATGGAAACGGGATTATGATCGGAGGATGCTCGGCTTGTGCTTATGAATACATTCGGAGACTAGGCAGATGGGATTTGAGTTGTTGGTGCACCAACGTGCCCGACACGTCTAAAGTCCCGGTGCCAAATGGGAACTTTATGGCTGCTCCGGTCAGATTTGACTTGGGTAAGTACCGGCAGAATTAGAACCAGATCGTTCTTTAACTCAATGCCACATAGATCGAGTGTTAAGAGTCCGAGATCGACATGTGTATTGCCATCAGCACCAATCAACGAGATATCGAGCAGGGCAAGTTCTCCAGTAGGATATTCATCGAGTTCCGCCTTGTTCCGGGGTAAAATGGGTGGCTTTGAAGCATCGTGATTGCTATCTGTAATACTAGTTTCCTAGGATGAGGGAAGTCTTGTCCAAACGTCCTGCAGCGTCAGTCCCATCTATTCTGTGGATTGGGCAGAAATCACACTGTTTTTCATCACCTTTTAATAAAAGCCTTGCTATATCTGAAAACTTCTAAGACCGACATGATTATGCGTTTTCCGATAGAAACCTGCCTATCGGGTAAGGATAGGTAAATAGACAGTAGTAAAAGAGAAAGCGTAAATGATAATAGCAACAGTCAATGGCACAGGTATGCTCGTAAGACGCAAAGTAAAGTAAGCTTCCTAACGGATATATGAGGTTCATTGAGTTAATATCACCTTTCAATCTGTTATAGTATATGCTATGGGAGCCATGAGACTTAATAAACCAAACACAGGAATCACTCGTAGGAACCCGGTTGATGAAAGACGAGTAATAGAAGGCCAAGCCCACCAAGGTCTGCAAGGATAGCATTATCCTGCTGCTCTGTTTCTTCTCTCTGGGCTCCAGTACAGAGACATACTACTGTCAAATTCCCAGGCTACCGACTCGAATTCCGTTCAATCAAGCATTCTACCCACTCGGGCTTCCCTGTAACCTTCCAAAGCAAGTTAGTCAAAGATGGGGTTTCATTTGGTCGGTTTCGGTGATTACAGTGGCGTTGCACTCGTCTCCATGGTATCGGTACTAGATTAGTATTCTTGTGCCAAAATGGCTTCCAGCCCCTGTCGCATCTTCGTCCCAGGCAGGCATGCGGCTTGCCAAAAACTCTTTGGTTTGGGGATTTTGGTCCGAAGCGACACCAAAATGAGTTGCTGTTCGAATACCACCTCGGATGTCACAACTTTTTATACAGTCAGTCTCCCGGTTTTTGGTCATTCTGTGGCTGGATCAACTACCGCCTTTATACCCCTTTTTTCCTTGGTCGATTTTGGATAGTCTTCAAGTTGTCGCGGGGGCTCGTCCAGGTCTCTGCTGTAAGAGGGGGGACTGCTCCCGCAAGGTTGACAGAGAGGAAGTCAAGAAACCCAGAGACAAACGTGCTCTCCATTTCGAAACGATTCTAGTCAGGTTAGGTGAAAACAAAAGAGTGTTCGGAGAAGTGCTCCGTAGGCTGTTTTTCTATACAATCCTTTTGGGGAACGGTTGGCTTTGATCTAAAGACGGGTAAGTGTTTCTGAGTTGGAAGAGAAGCACTGTATTCCGCCGCTCAAAACCATTATCCTACAAAAAGCACAAACATCTTAAGGTATCAAAGTTTTTAAAGTCACCTGGTAGGCTACAACCCGGGGACCTTTCTCTCTTTGTGGTTTCTGTGTTCTGTGATGTGAGAATGTAATACGAACCACTCTGTACTGCCATTGACCGAGAATGAATCATCATGACAAAGGGGAATAGAGGGCAAAAAGGTGTGGAATCAACCAAGATGCTAGACTATGGTTGCCCGGCTCGAAGTTTGATGCCCACCGCGGTAATCTTTGTGATCTTGTGGGCTTGACTTTTTCATTGTACTATTCGTATCCTCCAGCACAGCTTATCCTTGGAACGCTACTAGTAGACCCACGCTAAAGCAGTTAATATTCTATCTAGATCAATCGGTGTGTCAGATTTACTCACCAGTCCTCAATAACACTGCTTACCAGGTCGCCTTACCACAAAGTACACTAGATCTTAGATTTCCTCTGCATGGAAACGAGAAAGCCTCCGGGATAATGAGCCACATTCCAAACTCGAACGTGAACGGCTAGCTAAGGACTGTGCCAAGAATTGGCGCCCGATATATCACGAGCCGTGGTGTGAGAGCCGATGTGGGACGTCTACGCGATAGAGATAGATTGCTCCAACGCCAGCTTCCACTAGAAGAACCCAGCTTTTCGGAGGATGAGCATGAGCTGTGGCTATGCGAGGATCTGGGCGTGAGATGCAGAATGTATCAGGATTAAAAAACGATAAGGGCAAAAATAGAACCGTCCCAGGTGAGGATCGAACTCACAACCTCCTGATTAACAGTCAGACGCGCTAACCAATTGCGCCACCGAGACAAGTTGTTGAAAGACGATTTGTAGCTTTAAATCATACGCCATGACGTTCTCAGCATACGAAAAAGGGCCGGATAAGGCCGTGGCCGCCTCCACAGGATCATTGTCTACCGCGATTCCTGAATATGAGACACTGCGTCCACACAACAGAGATAATTGAATCAATAAGAAAACAGTAGATCCTTCTAAATCAGACTTTAATAGAGCAATACTTGCTTTGAGAGTCCACCTCAATCGAATTGAAAGCCACAAAGAAAGGGTGGCAGCCAGATATATATAATTAAACTACCTTGCACTACCTATCTGACTTCAACTTCTTGGCCAGAGTATTTTGAAAAAGGATTCCTCATCTAATCTGGGCTAATATTTTATGTACTATGCATACCGCTACAGGGAACTGTCTAGGGTTGTATATCTGCATTTATCTGAACGCGTACTCTGGAGTATAGAACGTGTTTCCACACTGGATAGGGAGTAGCCTGTACAGATAATGACAACCGGGAGCTCCTCCGGTGGATCTTGGTGGAGATGTCCACGCAAGAATCAAGAGACCCTAGTATGGTTACATTGACCCCTGTGACCCACCGTCCTATCAACCAATGATCCAGGCATGAATAGGGACTAACATTACGATCCCCGCTGTCAATTTGTAACACGCCATCTTATCTAGCACAATCGCAATATGTCCGGCCCATTTGCTAAACCACTAGGGCCATCTTGGCAGAACTAGGCAAGAGGTCCCTTCGCACCCTCCCACGAGGGCCCAATTTTTGACATTCTGGCCGGAAATCACAGCTCGGGGAATTTGTTGAGAAGTTGCCATGGGTCTCAATCTTTACGTTCTGTTCTGATAATCATAGTATGACCCCGGGACAATGTCATCCCTCTTCTTGCGACGTACCCGCCAGCGACTAAAACCACTCATTGCTGCCTCGGTTATTCTAGCGACCATCACGATTTTTCTTCTCTCGAGAACCCAGTCTCCCCAACCGCACGTTGAAACCGTCACTCTTCCTTCGTCTTCAGGAACCGGCGTTGTCGCGAATAACGATAGGAACTCCAGCAACTGCTATGTGGACGCTGAACTTCTAAGATCCCACGGATACAATTCTTCCGCGGAATACAGACGATGGGAGATTGCGGTACGGCGTTCAAAGAGTCATAATGGCGTCTCGGATACCCTCAATGTTCCCGTTCCCAAATTTGAAATCCTCGACCTAGACACCGACGAGGACCGGATATATCTCTCGGAGGCTCAATGTGTTCCAACCGCCACGATCGAAGC